ATAACCCTAAAATCTGGGAAATTCCTTCCTAGAGGTAGATAGAACTTTAGTCATTTGATGCTCGCAAATAAAGATGAGGGTATTCGAAGATGCGAACATTGTTTCCAGATAAAAAATGATGTTTCTTTTCCTCCTTTTTCTTTTCGTAAAGCTTTATCTTTAAACGATCTATGCATTTGTCTCTTTTCTGTGTTTTTAGCATCAACAGAAATATTAACATCTCACTTTCCTAGATACCTCCATTTCCTTGATATCATGGTAAACCGTTCTCCCTGTTCTTCGATGTAGTTTTTCAGAAAGTAGTCAAGATGAGTGTTTTCATTATTTCTTAATTTTTGTAATACTTAAGCAGGTTAATTCGTAGAAAATTAGTTGCATTCAAATATAAACGGCCGTTTCTTTTTATTTTTTGCATGGTTTCTTGTAGTAAATTTTTTGCGCGTGATAGGCTTGTGACTAGTAGACACATAGACTCAATCTCGCCTCCGAGAGATAAACGTCCTTTTCGCTGTGCGTTTGTGCTTGTACCAATGCAACTTTGCCTGCCCTGTTCCATTTAGCTGGAGCTGAGGAGAATTCATTTATTGCGTTTTTTTCAAGTTTTTTGAAGTTTTCTAACAATTCCTCAACTAATTTCTGCTAATCCTCACTCTTCTGATTCCCCAAGAAATTCTGAGTGGCTTTCTTGAAACTTAGTCATGCTGCACTTTCAGTATCAATCATTTTTGTGATAAATTTTTCATCTTTGAACACGGTACGGATCTGAGGACCTTCTTTCAGTTTAACATCACTTATTTCCGGAAACTTCTCTCCTAAATATCGCCATCTTTGTCCAAAACTTTAACGAACTTTTTCATGAGACCAAGTTTAATATGGAGAGGTGGAAGCAGAATATTTGAAGGATCAACTAACGGCTCGTGGATGATGTTTTTCAATCCTGGACGGAAATCTGTTCTTTTTGGCCATACGTACTATTCATAACGATTCTTTCTGTCACTATAGTTCATATGCTATGAAAAACGTACCTACTGTATACTGTAATTTACTTTCTGGAACAATTTTAAGAAACGAGAGCGCCATAAAAATATGTAATAAGTTTCGTATGAAAGATAAAATAAAATGTACCTACACATTTAGTTTTTTTTAACTAATTCAAATACTGATTAACCATGACATTATTGATGTATTATCATTTAGTAATATCTTTTCTATTGATCTTGAAGAAGTATTCTCCCTCAACACGGTTTAATAATATTTTCAGTTTGTGTTCCTTTATTTGCATTCCTTGCCGAGATCCTCGAGAATATATTTTATTCTCTCGAAGCAATTCGCAGTAAACGAATTGGGACACTATTTCCGTAATTCTAGTATTCTCGAATGTCTAGATCTATTTATTTCCAAACCCTGTTGTTGTATCGGTGATAGGCAAATCAAACACTATCTGAATACAAAATATATTTATTTGTTCCAAAAATTAAATACATTTATTTCAAATCAAAAAATAAATACTGTCAAATATTTACTTGAGATATTATTCCCTTATTCTTTTTATACAGGGTGTTTTAGCATAAATGCTACAGGTAGAACAAACAATTTTTTTGGAAAACGTATATTTATTGATATTTGCATTTTGGCAAGAGTACCTACATTTTTTTATGTAGAAATAAAAAGAGCATAAAAAAATCGCGACCTAAAATTTTTTTGGTTTTCAGTAACAAACCTGTATAACTAATAGGTATAGGATTTTTCAAAATATACGCCTATTAACATTCAATACATATTTGTCGATTATTTATGGAGATATTGGTATAATTCATTATAAAAAGAATTCACGCAAGAAGTAGAAGTCGTGGGTATGTTAGCATAAACCTTAAGACTTCAAAAAACCTCAAAGAAAAAAGTCCAACGGCGTTAAATCGCATCATCGGTCAATTCTGATCACCAAAACGAGGAAATCACATGACCGGGAAATGACTCATGCAGTAATTGAATTGTTTCTCGAGCTGTATGGTATGTGGCACCGTCTTGTTGAAACCACATGTCGTCTATATCCATATCCTGTTATTGCCTTATCAGCCGCAATTTTGAAGAAAAATGTGACACGTTGTGGATGAATTTGTTTCTCAATAATCACTCGCAGATTTTTTGAACCCCAAATGCGACAATTTTATCGAATAATGCAGCCATCAAGATGAAAATGAGCCTCATCACTGAAGAGGATTTTGTTCGAACAATCAGCATCCATTTGTTGTTCCATAATCCAGTCAAGAAACTCTCTTCGTTCGTTGTGGTTAGTTAGTTTTTGAGTCATTTAGACTTTGTAAGCCTGAAGATGTAAATCTCGTGAGAACACGCTATAGAGAGCTTCTCGAAGTGCCCAATTCTTAACCACGGCATAGAATTGATGTTCCTAGACTCTCAGCAACACTCTCACGAACTGCTTCGATGTTTTGTACTGAACGATTTGTTGAAGGATGGCTAGAGTGTTTAAGGTCACTATCCAGTGCAATATCCAGTCTACTATCTACTATCCAGTCCAATATCCAGTGTCCCTGAATTTTTCAATTAATCTCTTCCCAGTTGATAAAATTAAATCTCTATTCCGACCATATTTTGTACAAAAATTGCGAACTGTAGCTGCTAAAACTTCATTATTTTAAAAATATTGCTCAGCAATTAAACCGCGTTGTTCTTTCGTGTAGCGCTTCATTTTTAATAAAACTTGAATTGTCAGGTCAGCTGTCACGCCGTATTTTTTTTCGTTGGCATTACTTTACAGCACAAATGGCGCAAAATTTAAATCTTTCGTAAATCTTGGGACATCCGATTATTTGTTGTCTGTTATCCTATTTATTGTTAGGAGTTGTCGTATGTTATCATGAAACACAAAAGAAAAATATTAAATATTTTCAATTTTGCTTCATTGTGATGAAATTTTTAGGTACACAGAAACTTTATTAGTCGGATTATCTTTAATTTAAAGTTTATAATTAACCATAAATAATTTTAATTTACTTGCACTTAAATTTGCTGAAGTGGTTGTGCTGATACTGATATGTGTTCTACCTAAAATAAAAAAGTGTCACATTTTTACTAATGTTTTAAATTGTCAGATAATGAAACGAGCACAGATGAATAAAATTGCAAGGGACACCATTATGAATTGTAATAGCTGGGTCACTAGCTCATTTTTATTAGACAGTTGAAAATGCAACGATATCTGTTTAATTGACTGCAGCAACTACGATATCCTGTATTAGAGCGAAGTTGCTAGAAAGGGTAATTAAAAAAATGTGGGTATTAGTCATTTAGACATAATAGTGAAAAACCTGGCGAAATATTCTAGAAAATAGAAAATGGCTTTTGTTGAAGATAGTAATATATTATATTATTTCCTATAAAAAAACTGTTAGTATTAAAAGGCTATTTGGCATATAGAATATAGAAATAACAAGATTTATAGATTTCTATAGAGAAAAGTTCACTGTGTAGGTAAATATTGAATACCATGCAACGAATGCAAAAAGGCAGTTGCAATAACAATAATTTGCAAATATAAACTATTTCCATTATTAACTTTCCCTGTACGTGGGTGTTGAAGCTATATTGTTCTAAAAATAATAAATCTTTTATAACACTACACCTTCGAATGCCCCATCAAATATTTTTTTTATTTAAAGGTCTATGAGTAACAAAAAGTAAACTATGTGCATACCTGTACATACTTAGGTTCACTTTTTGGGTGTTTACTTTGAAAACCGAACTTTAAACAAATGTAATGGCCTGGAAATCTGGAAAATTAATAGTGTAATTAATTTTGGCAACGAAAGTAGTAAGTCAATACTTGAACAAAAAACCTGACTGGCAATTAAAGTTAATGCAGGTTTCTGATCTCTCCTCAAGCAATTTGTGAAAACCGAACTAAAGCTTACACTGAAAAATCTGTTTACAAAGTTTCTATTAAAAACAGTTTAAATATCGTGTACTCCTGCTCAAAGTATTTTTTAAACATAATTTAGTAGGTAGTAGCATAACACAAGTAGGCGGTGTGAAGATTATGAAAACTAGTTGTTTCAGTTCATATGAATAATGTAAGTTACAAAAGATCGCGAAAAATTACACACAAGTGCTATTACTGTGCTAAAATGAGGTATGAATGGAGTGACTTTCACATGATCTTTGCGAAGGTTGCTTGATTAAACAAAAGAATTTTAAGATCGATAATGCCGGGCTTACAAAAGACTTACTGCTGTCTATATTATATCAAGGTATCTGGATAAATTCAGACGAAAGGTGATCTAAACATAGTATGAAAAAGAAACGTTTACGATTCTGGATAAATTGGAGTCAATGTACGCAAATTATTATGCTCATTATTTCAGGTTGTGATAATGATGAAAATGTCACAGGCCTTGTAAATTCCTTAGTTTAATTTTTCTTTTGCTTTACCCGTGGTATTATTGTTACGTACTGCTATAAATTATATTATTAAGTATAAAAAAGGCTTTTCTGGGCCCTCAAGACGCGTTATTTAGTTCCGTTCACTAAACGCAGAACAGAAATATCTCAATGAAACCGCCCCTATTTCTTTTTTACGCTTTTCCCAGTAGTGCACAGGAAACATTAGAGTTTCATAGCTTCTGAAAGTTTTATACGTACTAGATTAGAATATCCCTTTCTTACCCGTTCCGGTTAAGATACTTTTGGTGTAGTCGCAATGCAATAAATTGTGCTTTAGTAGTGCCTAAATTCCGTGTTAGCACCGGTGCAATGTGAATAATACCTATGTGGGTGGATGGGTTGTTGGGGGGTGACTGTGAAAATAGATCTATGTATCAGTGTGTCGGTGTGTCGGTATGTTTACAAATACGGAAACAAAAAGTGAAGTGATTTTTGTTCAAACCTTTTCATTGACTTGCGTAAAATAATATCTTTACAGATAAAATACATACATACATTTTTATATTATACCATCTCAGCAGTACCTAAACCACTCAAGCATGGAAAGAAACGACAATTACAAAATATACTGCTACAAATTTGACAAACAAAGATCTGCCGAAGATTATCTTCAAAAGAAAATCAAAATTGAGAACAAAATTTTGAACGAGAACTATGATGATGCTACCTCTGTCTCTACTACTACTACTTCTTTTAGAGTTATTGCAGACGATATCTCTTCTACGGCTTCTAAAGGAGCCATATCATCCGTACAAACCACAGCGCAAGTGAGCTACATTTTCAAGAAGTATTGGAAGTACCTACCTCTTCGAGAAAGAGTATGTATTTTCATTCAAAATTGTTGTTGACGAATTTCGGTTAAGGCATGTGGACTTCCTTCTGTCGATACGTCTATAAACAAGATCTATACGAAATAGTTAAGATCCTGCACGTTTTCCAGAAATCAATGAGAAAGAGCAAGATATTACAGAAAATGTAGATGTAAAAGAATCTGAACTCATGTACGTAAAAAGAATATTACAGATTGCTCTTTTAAAATTGTTCATAATGTGATGTGGTTGATATTTATTGGCATTTTTTTCTAGTGATTTCTAGATCAGGAGGTGCATCATAACATAATTTAGTTTTTTTGTTCAAAAACAATTACGTCACATAAGAGACCAAATTGGTATCAAATATATAGAGCTATCTAAAACATATATTTAATTAACCATATTGGCTGTAAAAAAGTTATTTTTAACCTCTATTCCGAAGAGGAAGATCAGTCGATTGCAGAGAAAGTAGTATTTTCATTTTTGGAAGTTTCTGAATAGTTAAGGGTAAAAATAAAAACTAAAATTTCACTTTAAAGGGCCTTAAATCCGCAAGGAGGGGGAGGAGATATTTCTTTTACATGAAAGACCCTCTTAATTTTCAATATTAATTTGTTCGTACTTATATATTGACACCCTGTATATATTTTATTAATTAAATAAACTAAAATATAAAACTGTAACTATTATCTGTTTGTAATTGGTTGTACTATAACAGTCAAACCACTATTTCATGTCAACTGAAATTGAACATCATATTTCCATTATTACATTGTTTTGGCAAAGGTTTGCGGTTTATAAATTTTGCAATGGCGTTCAGCCAGACGCAACTAAAAAATAATTGCTTTAGGTACTGAAAGCATTACAGGCACGTAGAAATGAAATAAATACATTTTTCTACAGTTAGAAAATCATATTTCAGAAGATACTGTTAAAATTAAATCCTAAATCAGCACAGGCACAATGTATGTATTAAAACACACAATTAATTCCAGTACATTTTATTAGACTTAGATTTTATGAAGTTATGCATTGTCTGTTAAAAATCAAAAATTAATCCAGCCAGAATGTTTGCAGTTACACCAGCGCCTTCACCAAAAATAACAATACCTTAATACAAAGTCTTTACAAACATGAAGAGGATGTTTTAATAGTAGGTAAAATATATTAGTGATAAGCATTTTCAATAATCAAAATCGCTGAAATTGCAAAACGGTGCTTAAAACCAATAATAATCATAATTTTTTAAAACATATTGAGAACTTCTGTAAGCGCCTCCGACTTATATACTGCATAAAAAGAGGAGAATAGTTGTGGAAGTAAATGGTGTGTAGTCCAATTTTTGTATTAAACAGGAAAATTTGACACTTCAAGAAAACAAAAGAAGGTTCAAGAGAACGACCAGTTTTTAAATAACATTATATGGACTGACTATGGATATTATTTGTAATTTTTGTTAATTTCGCATCAGTTTTTGTTAAATAAATATTACTTTATCTTGATCGAAAAGACTATGATTTGCGTAAACAAGATTAAATGAAGTAATTTCCTGTGATATCTATTAGATAAATAAAATTAATTCATCACTGTTTTATTCAAAGCAATCTAATATTACGAAAATCTGCAGTAGTTATGCCTGAAAATTTAACTTTAAAAAATCTTCCTTCTGGAAAAAAATTACCTCAAATCCAAGTATCTCGGAAACTAGTGGCTTTTCGAAAATTGCACAAAAGTTGCTTATAATTTAGATATCTTTCAAAACTGCTGTCAACAAAATATGTTTTCGGATTGCAGCGACATCTATACCTGCATTGAGAGGAACGGGATTTGTACTCACAAGTAAAGGCATTTATTGAAACTGTACAGTGGATTTTTCAGAAATCATTTATCTTTTTTTATTTTCGAGATATCCAGCTGGGAGTTTTAAACGGGACACCCTGTATACATATACTATGTATGTGAAACACCTATTTAACAAAACAACCAATTTTGTTTCAGAAAAAAAATCTTATAAAAAAAATTAAATTATTGGTTCGTCAATATGCCTAAGGAAGCATTGACCTGAGGGATTTTCGTCCATATTTTTTTTTAAAGGTACCTGTGTTTCACTTATATATCTCTCCAGAGCGTATATCATTTGAATTGTCCTTTTTCGTGGACTCAGCCGAAGTGATTTTTATATAAGAATGGATTAGATCAAGGCACTTGGCGCCAAAAGAAAAATAAGACACCTGATACACTGCCGCATTCGTCTCACAAATATTGGAAGGGTATTAAATAAAACATCAGCGATTTATAAGACAAAAGCGAACACAGTGGGTATACGGGATGTCTCATTTAAGCGTGCCTTCGTAAATGACGTTCAATAAAATAGTTGAATGAAAAATAAAGAAATTATTACACATAATTTTTTGCTTTCGTTTTCAAAACAGTTAGTATAATAATTGAGCTTTTTTGGTTTGCTACTCATTACTATGATTTTGAGAAAAACATCAGGAAAATTTATTTCTACTGTCATTTTATATTAACCTGAGAATATGATGAAGGGTTCTCAAGACTTTATTATTAGATTTATAGTCTTGTAAACTTAAATTATTTCCCATATTTGAAGATCTTAGAGTTTTGACTAGGTCAAAACTTAACATATCTTAGGTATTTTATGTGCTACAAATAAAAAAACTATTAATCATTCTTTTAGAAATAAAATCTTGGGTCCAAAAAAATAAAAAATTCTAAAATATCGTTAAGGCGATTTTAAATATGGAGTGCAGTATAGTCAAGTAGTTTAAAATAGATTTGGGAGATGTTCTTCATTATATGTTATAGGGTGCCTTCATAAATGCCCGAGCCCCACGTGACCGCGACTGTAAGTCAAGCAAACTTACAATGGAGTCAATATTTTTGTAGTACCTAATGTTCATTCCGCTATAAAATAATTAATTTTTTAATGAAAAAATAAAGAAGAATAAATAAGAAAATTATCTTGTTAACAGGAGCAACAGAAATTGAAATTCATAAATAATTATGTCTAACTAATTTAATTAATCTCCATCAAAATGATTTCTTTGTTCAAAAAACTTATATGTACATTTTATTTTATAAACTATTGTAACTATTTTATAAAAAATGGTAACTGTA